ACCTTCCATCTCGGGGCGGCTGTTCTCGGAGCTCTCAGCTTTGCCCCCAGCATCGGGAGACCTGGACTTGATGCTTTCTGCTGGGCTATTGGCCGGGGACACGGCCTGGAAGGACAGGGTTTCCATGGCATCTGGGCTTCGGCTCTGATACTCCTGGTCGCCCAYGAGCGAGGACGAGTCGTTGGTCAGGCCGTCGCTCTCCACGGAGCCATTGTCTCGGCTGCTCTGGTGCTGCAGGCCCCCAGGGGCAGGACCCACCTTCACCGGGGCATCTAGGGAAGCCATCGCAGGGAACCCCAGGGTGGGTGATGCCAAGTGGGTGCTGGGAAGAGGTGCAGGGACCTTGGAGGAGCCAGCGGGGGCATCCTGGGACGTTACTTCATCTACATCAATGCTCTCGACCTCCTCGGGGCAGGAGGCACCTGTGCCKCCWCTCTCCCCGACCATCATGGGCTCRGAACCCGTAAAGTCACAGGGGCTGTCCGGCAGAGGCGTGTTGGGAATCTGGCCACCCATGTGCATCCGGATGTGCTGCTGCAACATGACCGCGTTGGTAAACTTCTTCTGGCAGATGGGGCACGAATGCTGGGTCTTTACAGATGTGTTGGCTCGGTGAACCCCAAGATGCGTCTTCAAGTTGCCTTTGGTAGAAAAAGCCCGGCCACAGACCTTGCACTGGAAAGGCCTCTCCCCGGTGTGGGTGCGGTAATGCATCTTGAGAGAGCTCTGGCAGCTGAGGACTCGGTGGCAGATGAGACATTCGTTGGGGTCGGTGGGGGCCTTGTCGATGTTTTCCACCAGCTGCTGTAACTTCAGGGTCTCTGACCCTGGCTCGGGGGTCCCACTCCCCTGGAAGCCACCAACCCTTGGGGAATTATGGTTGGGTCCCACCCCAGATAGTGGGGGTCCACCCTCACTTTCCGGAGAAGGCCCAGGCTGCAGGTCGCCGGGCAGCGGGCCACCCAAGAGGTCCTTGGGGTTAGTCCCCGGAGAGAGATTTTGAGGTAGCCCTACGCAAGGGGTCCCTGTTACAAGGACAGGTTTGCTGTCTAAAGAGAGACTCGATTCATCTACAGGGACGGGGACAGAGAGTGCATAGGGGATGCCATTGCCTGCTGCCATTTTGTCCTGGAACTCGGCAAACAGCTGGGGRTTCGCCTTCACCTGGGGGTGTCGGTGAAAGTGTACCTTGAGGTTGCCCTTGGTGGTGAAGCGGTGACCACAGACAGAGCACACGAAGGGTCTCTCTCCAGTATGGGAGCGGAGGTGGATCTGCAAGGAGCTATCAGTCCCAAAAACCTTGCTACAGTACTTACACTTGTGCTTGAAGAGGGCCGCCTCGTCTTTGGGTTTGACATCCACAGCGGAGATGTTCGGTGGCTTCCCTTTCCCTTTCTTGGATGGGTCTAGCACCGTGGCGGAGAAAGGGCTCTGGAAGAGCACAGAACCTGGGGCCTGAGGTAGCAAAGCGCTCGGGAGCCGAGACACGACATTCGGGAGCACCCGTGACCCGTCTGGCTTCAGGGCAAAGGGGGTCAGCCCTGGGGACAGTGAGCCGGCGGTGGAAGGGATGTTGGCATGAGGTAGCTTGGCTTGTTTCAAGGCATCCAGAGACAGGCCTTGGCTTCYGGCCTTCTGGCTGAGCAGAGCCACMGTGGCAGACACCTGCTGGGACACGTGGCTGCCCAGGGTCTTCAGGGCGTCGGTCCCGCCCGAGTGCAGGGCGTGCGCCGCCCACATGTTCACCTGCACGCGGATCTGCTCGGTGAGCTGCAGCTGCTGGAGCTGCTGCTGCTGCAGGCACAGGATCTGCTCCAGGACCCACGGGATGCCGTGGGCGCTGGGCACCGGGGCAGGCGGGGCGTCGGCGCTGCGCTGGTTCACCGCCACCTTGGTGCCCCGGAGTGCCTGCAGAGTCACGTTTGTGTTGGCCACTTTGCCTTTGGGTAAATAGCTTATGTCCTGGGGCGAGGGCGGCAGGGCGGCCTCTGCCTTCAAGTACAGGACAGGCTCGGCGCCCGGCTTCTCCTTGGTACTGCCACTGCTCCCCTGGTGACCATCCTTACTGCTGGGGCTGAGTGGCGGGTGGTTCAGCACCACTCTGGAGAAGTCCTCTGAAGGCACTGGTCCCTCGCCGTCGTTCATGATGAGGACAGGCGAAATCTTAGTGCAATTTTTCTTATGTTCCAAGAACTCTGAGAGGCTGAAGAACGTGGCACAGCATTTCTCACAGATGTGAGTGTCCTCTTGGCGGAGCCGCTTGGCAGTGGCTTTGTCCCCACCTGCTTCATCGCCACTGCCTATGTGGTTCATTGAAGCACCTGTGACAAGAGAGAAAAAAGCTAAGAACTCAACCCAAGGAAAGGACATGTGACACCTAGGAAAGAACCGCGATTTGCAATGACAGGCACTCCTCGGGTGTTCCCACGGGAGAAAGCTGGACTTGGAGACAGATGCACCCACAAGGTCGGAATGAACAAAGCTGTGGGCTGAATTATGCTCCCCCAAAAGACATGGCCAGCGCCAGCTCTGTGGTAGAGTGTGTGCCTGGCCCATGTGAGGCCTTGGGTTCCAAACCCAGCACAAGGGGGGACAAAAAAAAAAAAAAAAAGATGGTCCTACTTCCCCATGTGGCACACCCCACCCCACTCTCATGTGACCTGATCAGATAAAGTCTTTGCAAATGTAACTAGACTGGGCCTAGGGTTTATCCAAGGCTCGTATTGTTATTTGAGAAAGGGAGATCTGAGATGTACCAGATGTCTCCCTCAGAGCCTCTAGAAGGAACCAAACCTGCTATCACCTACATTTGGACCGGCCTGGACTCCATACCTGTGAGAGAATAAATTTCAGTTCATTTAAGTCATCCAGTCTAAGGCAGTTGGTTAATGGCAACCCTAGGAAAGGAATATAACTTACCAAAACAATCCCATCCCAACCCCTGCACCTCTCTCAGAGTCAGCTTGCAGAGGCAAACAGATGGGTTATGCTGTCTAAGAGAAGGACATTGGACCTGCTCAGATCATGGCTGCTGACCTCCTTCTTCARCCCATAGTAAGTGAAAGGCAGTCAATGACTCATTCAACCAAGGCACCCAGCACCCGCTTTCCAGGGGCAACAAAAGCTTAAAGGTGCCAACAATTCAGATGGTAACACTAAATCCATGTGAAATATAGAGCACAGCAACTTGGGTGAATTGAGATAGGAAGGACAAGAAGAATGTTCTCAGAACAGCTTCGCCTGTGGGAAACACACGGAAAAAGACTGCAATGCCCAAGCAAGACACGAACGTAAAAGACTTCATTGACTTTTTCAGATTATGACAAACCCGTTGCAGTGTCTTAACATTTAGGACTTTAAAAGGAAAAAGAAGCCATCATAGAAAGTGAGAAGTATGGAAGTAGGGGAAAGGAATGGTGGACCCCCCACCACACACACAGACTAACAACTTCTGCCATAATTCTATTTTTCTGAAATGAAATACACGATCCCTGATCCAGGATCCTTCAGCTGTTTTTTTTCAACTTATGACAGTGTGACAGTAACACAGGCTTAGTACTTGGAATTCTGCATTTTGACCTTTGCTTGGGAATCCTCTTGTGATGCTGGAAATCCACAGAATCACCAGCAGCAAATGAGATCTTCAGCACCACAGCGTGGTTAGGCGGCGGTGCTCGGTCAGTTAGGCATATTAACTGCATTCTCTGCTCACGATAACTTGAACTTACTCTGGGTTTATCGGGATGTAATCCCACTATAAGTCAAGGAACATCTGTGTACAAAAGCTAAGTCCTATTTTGAGTCTTATCTTCTTAAAAATGACTGACCCATAGATTTTTTGGGGGCAAGTGGATCCTATCCAGATTAGGGTTAGTATTAGCATACACATTCTGATTCCCTTTTGAGGACTGTGCTGTACCCAGAGGCTTGGGTCCTAGGAATCTGAAGCCTGGTGGGGAGTCTCTGTCCAGCCCCCTGCCACCCTATCAGGTAGGTTAGGCCCTCCCCTAAGAAGGCACTGGAGCTTGGAGTCTCAGACATAGCACCTCTGGGCTTGTGAACCTGAGCCATACACACATTTGCACAAGCACAAAGATCCATGTTATCAAGTGTGCACATGTTTGTTTGTTTGTTTTTAAAGGCAAAACTGTTTACAGTGGTGACAAAGATAATCCTGGTTCACCCACCGTGCAAAAAAAGAGTGTAAGTTCTGCATGCTGCACAAGTCAGGTGRTGTAAGCCCCAGAAGCAGGAAGTAGCAGGACTTCTTTTGTTTAAAATGAAGCCTATGTGTGACTTCTCCATGTAGATGGCGAGGATGCACACCACTTTCAAATAAATAAACAATTGCTTTTTATGTTAGTAAACCATGGRTTTTGACTGAAAAGCTTCCAATAGTTTGGAGGAAGGATGGATCTTGAAGAACAACCTTAATAAACTGACTTCATTTTTATCAATTTTAGACTGAGTAAAAAGAAGACTTCCAAAGTCACCCAGTGCCTACCTCACCAACCACACTCACCACCTACTGTGTGCAGAGGAAGCAGGGCTGTGGGGGCAACCACACAAATGGACCCACCATTTGTGTTTCCTTTCATGTCTTTACATTGCAGCTCTTTTTTCTCAGGGATATTTTTGAGATTTCAAAAGTGTCCCTCCTTCCAACACACAAACACATGTAAAACACACACAAGAAAAACCACACACATTCCTTCTTTATGGCACTGGGATGAACCAGGGATGCTTTTTCATACGAAGACAGAGCCTTGCTAATTCTCCCAGGCTTACCTCAAATTTGCAATCCTCCAGCCTCAGCCTCCTGAGTCACTGGGATTAGCCATGTGCCACCACTATTCCTCCACATCCTTTTTTTTCCCCCCAGTACTGGAAATTGAACGCAGGCCTCATGCATGCTAGGCAAGTGCCCTACCACTAAGTTACATCCTCAGCCCCAGAAGGAATATGATGCCACAAGGCTACTTCCAGAGACAGTTGCATAGGGGAGGCAGAGCACAAAGACCTAAGGCCTCCATAGCACTGACTCAGTCCTAGGTTAAGAGTCAAGTTAAAAAACAAAGACAAAAGAAAAAAAAATCTCATCAATTCCCAGATCAATGGTATCTGTATATGCAATTCATGTGCTCAAACGCAGTGCTTATGGGTAGGTAATGGGGGTGGTGTTAACTGGCACAATCTTTCTGGAAAAGCAATTTTGTAATTATGTGTCAAAAACTTTCTCTGGGGAACATAAATGGATATAGCTTCTTCAGGGAGTCATCTGGCAACATCTTAATTTTAGTTTAATTCTCCTTGACTCAGCAATTCCTTTGTTAGGAATTTACTTCCTGTATTGCAAGGTATTTCTTGCAGCATTTCTCAYATTAACAAACAAGTACACAAATGGACACACACTGTCCATCAGGAAGTTTCTGGTTAAATAAATTAGAGWGCACAAAAGATGAACATTGTATCCTACCAAGACAAGTAGACTGTRTTAGTGTGCTCCTCCACAGAACAACCGCCCAGGAGTTATTTCATAAGAGGGAAAAAAAGGAAGAGAACAGGATGTATATATAATGTGTTCCCATTTGGGCTCACAGATAAAGACATAAATGTGTACATGGAAACGAAAAATGATACAAGAGAAACAGTTGCTGGTATCCACCTCCTGKAGAATGCACCTGGGAACTCAGGTGGAAGAGAAAAGTGTAAACTGTACCCACCTTTGTCCTACGGCTTCTTTTAGATTGACATTAAACATCTAAAACACACCTAAAACTCCTGGGTCAAGCTAACTCCTCACCTCACCCTTGCGTCTCTCTCCTGCTTCTGAAGACCCAAAGTTCCCGCAAAAATGTGAAGCTCCCCACGCTGCTCCTTAGGGCCCAGGCCAACCTCTACCCACCACCCATACTCGTCAAAGGCCTGTGCCTGAACTCAATATCTTCAAATCCACTTAACCAAACAAGCATCTTTCTGCTGTTTTGTAGATGTGAAAATTGAGGCTCAGAAACAATTAAGTGGCTCAAGGTGACATACAGCTAAACTAAAAATAAATAAATAAGTACTGAGTTCTTAGATACTAGTTAAGGAGGACAATAAGACAAGGGACCTAGTCCACCCCCCCACCCCAGCATGGTACTGGGATTGAACCCAGGGGTGCTCTACCACAGAGCCACATCCCCAGCCCCTAATTTTTAGACAGGTCTCTGTAAATTGCTGATCCACCATGTCCTGCTATAATGTATCATAAATATATCATACTGTGGTTTCTTTGGAGCATCACAAACCAGTACCATATCAATAAATGTTTCTGTCCCTCTCCCCGGTAGATGATAATCTAGGGGCAATATTCTCTCACTGAAGGTACATTCTAAAGCAGGAATTTTTGTTGTTGGGCAGAGTGCTAGGGATTGAACCCAGAGCCGTGTGTAGAGCCGTGTGTATGCTAAAGATGCGATCTATCAATGAACTACACAAACTCCAGCTCCTAAAAGCAGTCTTTTAATTTTTTTTTTTTAGTTTTAGATGGACACAACACCTTTATTTTATTAATCAATTTTTACTTGCTGCTGAGAACTGAACCCAGTGCCTCACACATGCCAGGTGAGCTCTCTACCACTGAGCCACAACCCCAGCTTCTAAAGCTGGCATTCTTAACTAGGGGTTCATGAAATTAGGAAAAAAATACTTTTCGTAAGTACTGAAAATGGGCATTTCTTTTAATTTGGCATGTGAGGAATAAGTGACAATGGTATCAGCAGAGCCTGTGACACTGTCACAAACACACACACACACATTTTTACATGGCACTACAGTTGGTGCAATGACTTGACAATTCGGTGGTTACCTAACAGGATGCTGACCCGTTACTTATTGTATTAGGAATTGTTATGTATTATATTAATTAATATAGACCCCTGGGTACAAGCAGGAGGACCAGGACCCAGTTCCAGGATACCCAAATCCATGCCTGTTAAAGTCCCTGATACAAAATGGCAGCAGTATTTGCATATAATGTGGACATCCCTCTGCATACTTTGAATCCTCCCCAGGTGACTCATAATACCCCTAATACAATGTAAATGTAGGGGAAGTCATTGTTCTAAAGTGTGTGGCTTAGGGAGCCAGGGCAAGAGACAAAAGCCTATGCAGGGCGGGAACAGATGCAAGGTTTCCCCCAAACACTTTTCCCCCTAGTTGTTGATAGACCTTTATTTTATTTATTTATACGTGGYGCTGAGGTGCTGAGAATTGAACCCAGTGCCTCACACACGCAAGGCAAGTGCACCACTGCTGAGCCACAGTCCCAGCCCTTCCCCAAACATTTTTTGACATGTGCTTGGTTGAATCTGCAGATGCAGAGCCCGCAGACACGGAGGGCCAGGCGCACATCACGAAGGTCTCGTTTTTTTTGGGGAACGGCACTTCTGTTCCCTTGGCATCCCGTGGATCTTCAACATGTCGACGGCATAAAAAAGGTTAAGCTCCTCTGCTGGAAGGATCTACTGGTTCCCAGAGTGATTTACAGCCCGAAAACCAGCTGCCTTCACTGTATACACAAGCCTCGAAGCCGCACCGGCAACATCCAGCTTGAGTCTTAAAACAGCAGCAGCTCTGTTTGCCTGTGCAGTAAAAAGTACTGGTGCATCCCCGTCACCCCTGGCACATCCTGAAGGCGTATTTGCCAAGGAGTAAGAGGACTCCGTGAGGAACAATGGCTGGGTATGCTTAAGTTAACCCGAAAAGAAAAAAGCAAAGTTCAGAGGGATTACACAGCAACTCCTTCTTCCATCCCTCGGCCCCACCCCCACCCCGAATTTTAGGAATGTTATCTCTCAGCATCTAGTTATCCAATAAGTTGGAAGAATGCAGTAAACCCAGCAGGGGTCTTAGATTCAATCACAGCCAAATGGATAGAGAATACTCCTGGTATTGTGAAGGAAGAAAGTTAATCTGCCAGAGGCCAATCAAATTCTGGAGACGCTAAAACGCTTAAAAATTAAAACCTGTGTATCTTGAGGGAAGCATTATGACTCGGGCTTATCTGCTTTCTCATTCCTATATTAGAAGAATGACTATGAGCAGATTATCTAAGGCACACAACATCTCCTGCCCTCCCCCACCACCCAGATAAGGGCTTACCAAAAAAACAAAAGGAAATTAGGTCCCCAAGTGTTGTTGAGCCAGTGGCAAGGGCCCTGTTAACCAGTTTAATTTTAAAAATGTGTAGATGGCAAATTAGACCCCAAATTAAATTTCTACTTAATTAAAAATTTTAAAAAGTTTCAAGGGGCCTTGGATCAACGTCCAGGGAGGCTCTGTGAAAAAAGGAAGAGTAAGAAGATCAAAAAAGACTGCTAAGGTGTGTGATCTATCTGGCCATCGGGGTTAGAGATGTGCCCCATTTTGAAATTTGCAGACTCCAGAGGGCAAGGGGCTTTGTTCCCTCCTGAGGATCCTTCCTGAACAAAGCCTGACAAGAGTGTGAAAAAAAAAGTTTTTTTTTTTAATGGCAGTGACTAGTGATGCAGTTCTTGTCTGGATTTAGAGGCCTTTAAACATGTCTAGAATTTTTATTTTTAAATAATCCAAAGTACAATAGGTTAAAAGTGCTATGAAAGGGGAAAGAATTCAAGAAATTAGTTCCCTATCACTTTTTCCAGGACTACTAGTAAGGCCCAAAGAAACCAAGCGCCAACGTCATGTCCAACTTGCTTCCCTAGAACCTCTTCATCTAAAGCCTGGAAGGGCATATTCGAAAAACTGAAAGGGTGATTACCAAACCCAACCAGCTTCCAACACTAGACATGACTTTTTCATCTGGGAAACAAGGAAGATAACCCCATCCCACCACCAACTGCTCAAAGACCACCACAAACGCAACCCCTTGGATTTAGGGCAAGGCTGAAAAAAACCAAGCAGGCCAGGCACCAGGGGCAAAGTCATCCCAACCTGAAGCCACAGTTGGTTGTGAGGACTAAAGATCATGTACCTGAGGTCCAGACTGGGTCGACCACAGAGGAGGCTATTTTCTCTGCAGAATTATTTCAGCGAGCAGCACACAACACCACCCTGACACGATAGTAAAACTAAGAACATTTTCTTTTTAACAAAATTATTGATCACATTCCTAACACACTTCTACAACTCAAATAATCTAACTATCATCTTATCACCGTTGTAATAAGGAACCCAAAAACTCAGGGGGGAAAAAAAAGAATGAAGTTAGCCTCCTGTTCACACTGCTGAAGCTCATGCAACCAGACAGGAACACAACCCCTGCTCTAATGCCTTAAAAAAACACCACCAAYGAGTTCCCTAGCACCCACCAACACTTCACATTTCAAAAGAGGAAAAGCTAACCATCTCCAGCCTCCCAAAATGGTTCCCAGCCCCTACCTACAAGGAAACTCACTAACTGAAGGAGCCACACAAGTGTAACTGACTTGAATCCAAGAGTGTAGGGTCTGGTTCTTACAGTTGAGGAACGTATTTAACAATGCAATTTATTTTTAATAAATAAAAAGGGATTGTGGGCAAATTGCAGTCCCCTCTTCTTTTGGGGGGAAACTCAGATGAATTGGCCTGAAACCTCACCAAAGCCAGTGTAGGTCACTTTAGGAAGTTACTTGAAACTTGGGAATCTTAATCATAGATGGTTGTAATCCAGTTTAGCACAAAGGGCATTTGAAACCCTTTTGAGAAAATGCTAATTTTCCCTAAGTAGAGTTAGCTCCCTCCCCGACCACCTGCAGATTTTTTGACCTGCTAATTATTACCCCGGACTTCATTTTTCCTCCCCACCCCAACTGCCTTCTCAAAGATCGTGGCAAAAATAAAGCCAGTCCAATTTTTTAAAAATCATACCTATCATTTATTTATGAGGTTCGTCAAATGCAAACATCCAAAATGTAGCCATTAAAAAAAAAAAAAATATCCTACTTGGGGAAACTATACTGTCCCAAAGCGGCAACTGAGGGCTCTGCAAATACATTCTAGGATCAAGGAATTCTTTCCAAGAATTCCAAAACCTTGGCGATGAATAATGGGCACAGACGGCACTGGCCGGAGTCACTGCAAGAAATCCCCAGGGGTGCCCGTCCTGGGCCTAACCTAGCACTCTGCACAACACCCTCCTCAGCCGGCCCCACTCACCAGGTGTGAGCCAGCGGCGGTGCTGGGACCCGCCTCCTAGCAGAGGGCTTGGCTTCAGAACTCGCCTCCAGGGGGCGACCGCGGGCAACTCGGCCAGGCTGGTTTGCACAAACCCTGCGGATCAATAGTGAACTCCCTCCCAAATCGCAGTGGGAGCGCACAGCCAGGCCGGAGATTCTGACCCAGCTCAGCTAACTTAGGCTCCGGCCAACGTAAATTTCGGAAGCCCTCCGCTAACAAGCTTTCCCTAAAAGGTGCAAAGCCCCACTTGTGTGCGCCCACCCAAAATGAAGAGGGAAGGGGAGGTCAAAGCAGGACCAGGGGAGGGGTCAGCGCCAGGAGCTCGCCCCTCCTCTCGGGAGGAAGCGGGCGGGCGGGCGGGCAGGCGGAGGGTTAACCCTTTTGTTCCAGGTGGGCCAGGCCACGAAGCCTCTCCACGCTCCCCCCACCTCCCAGCCGAGGCACAAAGAGAGTCCACTCCGGCTCCTGCGCCCTCGAGTGTGCCCTGCCCTGCCCATCAGAAGCCCCGAAATCCCACGCCCACCCCCTCGGGCAAGCCAGTATTTTTCATTTGCCCTGGAAATCTTGTTTAGAGGGTGGTGGGACGCGGTGACTTAATTTTAACTAGTATATATTTGGAAAATTGCATTGCTTCCCCAAAGGAGAGTACGGGAACCCAGAAGTAGCAACCGTCTTCTCCCCAAAGCCAGTGTCGGAACTGGCTTCTTGGTGGCCGGGGCTGCCACGCACAGCCCATCAACTGGGAAATGAGAAGGCAGGCTCCGAGAGGAGGTTAAAAAATGCCCCCTCCCCCCACGCATACGGCTCAAAATTTATCAGGCGACAATTTGGCGGGCCGCGACGGAGAGGAGATAGTGGGAAATCGACTCGCTCCTAAACCTCCTCGGCTAAGTGGCCGGGGAGAATGGGAGTTTGCCCCCGGCTCCCGGCTACACTGGTGTCCCGAACGCCTCTGGACCCGGAGGCGCTGGCCGCGGAAACGTGGGCCGGGTCAGCCCCAGGAACTCGCCCTGGCCGCGACCGCCCAACCCTGGCCCGACCTCGCCCCTTTCACCTCGCCCAGCTCCCCACAAAAAAACGTGCAGGGAGCCCAGCGGGTGCACCACGGCGGGGTGGCGGTGCGCCGGCTGCCCCGGTCCCCGGGGGCCAGCACCCCTCCGGTTACCGCGGTTATTTTTAGGAAGTCGGAAATCAAAGATGGATGGAGGTCAGACCCAGAAAGGTTAGGGCGAAGATCGGCAGGCGGCGTAGCCTCGGGGGAAAAGGCGAAAACCAACAGAAAAAAAGAAAAAAACGTGAAAGGAGAAATAGAGTTTTCTTYTCCACCAACTCTCAGGGCGCTCCAGCCCCCTCCACCGCGCGGGTGGCCAGCACCCCAACCCCTGCGGGTGGGCAGAGGTCGCGCCCCCTCCCCCACTTGGCCTGGGAGGGGCGCGTGCAACAGATCGCCCTCCTCCGGGGGGTCTTCCAGGGGTGCGCCCCTCCTCCACCCTCCTACAAAAGCCCCCAAGGGGTGGTGGACAGGGAGGAGAGCCTTGGGGGTCTCTTTCTTTTAAAACCGGCGCCAGAGAGGGAGGGGGAACCGAAGTTACCGCGGGGGGGGGGGTTACTAGTTAAAGCAGTGGAACCAATTAAGAAAGAAGCTGAGGACTAGGAGAGGAGACCCTTTTAGGAGTGAGGGAGACAGCAGAGAGTGGGGATCAACTTTACAATAAGAGGGGAAAGAGCTGGGGGTGAAACTTACACAAGAGAGAAGAGGGAAAAAAAAGTGTAAAATCTGAAAAGACGGAGGTGGGGGGGGGGATGAGGCTGCCTCCCTTCCCTTAGAGGGAGTCCCCAGAACCCGGTTCCAGAAGCCGCACGAGAAGCCGCAGCGCCCCGCAGCCCGCGCCCTCGAGGGTCCCGCGAACGTAAGGGAAACTCCAGCGCCGCGGCGGGCGCTCCAGCCCCACTCACCCGGCTCCCCCGCCGCCGGCGCCGCTGGGGCCGCATCTGCGAACTCTGGAGTCGGCTGCGGCCGCGGCTGCTCGCCCTGGTCCTCCTCCGAGTTGATGTGCTGGGGTTTCGCCTGCTTGCGCCTCGACATGGTGCGAGCATCGGGGCGCCGGGAGAGCCGCGGTTATTTGCCCTCTCCGCCACAAATTCCTGGAGTTGGGAAATTTACCCCCCTCCGGCCAGAACGCGCATGTCCCAGTAATTATTATTATCAATAATGCATTGCGATTTATCATGAGCCCTGACAGCTGATTGGCCTGGGTCCAAGACCTCAGAGATCATTTAAATAAGCCCTCATTGATCAGGGAGGGGCGAAGCATTCTGGGCTTTGTAGTCCGGCCCTACATGTGACAAAGGCGTGTTCATCTGGGGAGCTCAGCTAATTAGCATCCGGGCTCAGATTGGCTGGGGCGTGGACGAAATCCGAGGGGACCCATCCTCGCTCCAACTATCTGAGTCCTTGGAGAGGAAAAAGGGGGGAATGTATACTTACCAAAGAACCAGAGGCATTCCTAAAAATTTTTGAACGTGGGTGGGTGTTCAGTAATGAGCTCCAAAAATTGAGGTTGATATCCACCAGCTGATGAGGGAGGTCTTCTCACAGTCAAATACTTTGATTCAATTCTTATATCTACAAAAAAAAAAAAAAAAAAAAAACCAAGAAAGAAAGAAAGAAAATACCCTGAGATGTGACCTGTGTGGCCTTCCACCTTTTTCGTGATTGACCTTCTTTAAATTGAGTTTAGAAACCACAAAAGAAGGGTGAATGGGGGTTTATTCACCTTCCACCCATCGCAACTCTTAAAGCGGCCCTCCAATGTGCGGGTTTCATATAACTACGCACCGGGATTTACCCCCTTTAAATGATGAATAATGCCAACCCCCTACCCTGCCCATTCATATTCACAAGGTTTGGTCTGTGGTTACAATGTAGATATTGATTTTTTAAAAAAACTTTGAAATGACTGGCTACCAAATATAGAAAAGACAGATTAAAAGCAAGCATAGTCAGAGATAATATCAAAACAGTAAGCAATTGCATTTTTCTCCCGTGAGGCATGAATGTCTTGATAACATCATATTTTATTACTGAGACAATGCTCTTACATCTACCATGCAATCCCAACCGGCAGTCTCAGAGTAGCTCGGTGTTACTAATTATCATTGGGCCTTTTTGCAATACAGAGTTTATTACAGAAACAATATATATTTCAGAGTGATCGTATCATCCCTCACATAGGGGTGCCTGGAATTCTCTGAAGATAGGTATGTGTGTATTTACATCATAAATCTACATAAATTCAATTTGGCTCACTGCCTTGCACAATGTAAGTGCTCAATAAATTGTTGAATGAATGACGAAATCTTCATTCTTCTAAGTTCGATGTTTCCTTGATGCCTCTAGGCCTGCATTTCTAGTTGACATTTACTGCATTGTAAGGGACTGTGCAAATATACAACCCTTCCACATCTGTGCATTACATTTTCTTGATTAGTTATTTGTTAAGTCCTCGGCTTGTAAGAGGTACTTGTGAGCTCATGAAGGAATGCAAGCAGAATAAAATGTTGGGCTCATAAATGTGTTCACCTGGACAATCCAAAGCAGAAAACCAATAAGCTTGATCACGTTTTTGATACTGGTGCTGTCAATAAGCCTTATCCAAAAAGGCTAACTTCCTGTTTCTGAGCCACTGCTTGAAAGTGTCATATATTGTTTATGTAAGTTGTCTAAAGCAAATAAGATGGAATTACAGCCAAGGATGGAATGGGAAATAAGAATGTGTTTAATACGATATCTAAGCTGTTTAGAGTTCTGCTATTGAGTAAAAAGGCCAATTAACTCTTCCCTTGCCAACTAATTTACTGATATTCCCAACACCTTGTCTGTATGGCAGAAGGCATAAGTCACGAACCTAAATGAATGTACAGTGGTTTACAGCTTAACACATACTAAAAGTTTAAGGAAAATTTCACGTGAGGTATGGTTGTTTATATGTATTTTAGTAGGTGATAATTAAAACATGTTACCCATTTCTGCTAAAATTGTGGTACATGAATCTCCAAGTGATGATGATAATTGATTGGGCCCCTGGTAAATACCGCACACTGCATGAAACACACATTCTCTTTTTATCTTTAGAAGTAAGATGCTACTGTGTTCCTGTTTGTTCATTTTTTTAATATTTATTTTTCAGTTATAGGTGGATACAATATCTTTTTTTTTTTTTTTTTTTTTTAATGTGGTGCTGAGGTCGAACCCAGTGCCTCACACAGGCTGGGTGAGCGCTCTATCTCTGAGCCACAACCCAGCCCAGATGCTATTGTTTCCTGTTTTGAAAATGAGGAAACTGAGACCCAAGGACACAAAGTGACTTAACTAGAAAGTCGCTGAGCTGTGAGGACTCCTAGGGCTGACTCCGACTTTCTAGGACATTCAGTACCTGTCCTCCAGTTACAACTGTCTACACACCCGACTTGGAAACAGGAACACTTGTGGTGGAGGAAACCAGACTGCCTGGAAAAAGCTAGGGACTATGGAAATCACCCCAACACACGTCCAGAAGTTTCCCTCAAGTGAAATCATCTTGCAAATGTCCTATCCAAAAAAAGACAGAGTCCATGTTTTGCATCTTCCTTTAATAGGACAGCCACGCCAGAAAAGGAAGTAAGACCCCGGAGCAAAGAGGCGGGTGAATGGAGGGTGCCCGAGTCCCTAACCAAAGGTTACCATGTAATCATCCAGAATTCCCTAAGCCACAAAGAGCCCTGGGTGGGGAGGGATTTAGAAAAGAGAAGTGATCCAAGGAGAGGATGATACTGAACTACTCAATATCTTTTCTTAGACAACTGAGTTTTAAAAATCCAGTCAATTTCTTTGTTCCAGAAAGGAATTTTCAGGAAATGTGCTTTTTTGGTATATTTTTCAGCAGTCTGTGAATATTGAAGTTTTACTATTTCATCCTCATTAAAATTCTTTATTTTTTTTTCAATTTCCATTTCAATGATGGGTAAGTTGAGGCCCGTAGCTCCCATTGGCACTGCGAACACTAGCAAATAAGTGTGGGCTGAATTATGAATCCAGGAACTTTCTGGGTGAAGTGTGTAGGTCTCACTGGAGGGCAGATCTACTTCTTTCTACAGAACTCCAATTCTTCTTTCTGCTAGGAAATGTCTTCCTTCTTGCTCCTCACCTCCCTTCACCTGGCCCCACTCTCGGTTCAAATCCCAAACCCCTTCCAAAAAAACCCTCAGCCTTCCTTCATCCAAACAAGGCACCCCCTATTACTGTGGTACCTATAGAAGCCAATTCTCTCCCTTCATAGCGTATACTGTGATTCAAAATTTGAGACAGATGTCATCACATACAGATGGTCCTTGATTTATAATTTGATGTACAATTTTTCCACTTTATAATGATGTGAAAGCATTAGGCCTTCATTAGAAACCATGCTTCGAAACTTTGAATTTAGATCTTTCCCAAGCTAGCCATACAGATTCCAATGCTCTCCTGAGATGCTGGACCAAAGCAGGGGACCCCAGCTGCCAGTTAGCCACAGGATCAGGAGAGTAAAATAGATACTGTGTTGCCAGTGGTTTTAGATATTTTGTTTTCACAACCCAGCATGCCTACAGAATGCCCATCTCTGTCTCCTGCTTCTCCTGAATTAATGCAATTTTGACTTCTTTATTTTCAGTGTACCATATCTCCATGTGACCCAACCATTGTGAGAGAAGGGACATAAGTTCTTGTCCCTTGCTTGGCTTTCACACTGCAGGCTACACCAGTCCACGCAGTGGACTTTATCACCATGTCCATCCCAAGCACTTCACTGTGGTGATGGATTGTGGAAGACCCACCCAGTGGATAATGAATCAGTGGCGGATGACTCTGGAGGCTGAACGTAAAATAAAATGTTAAAGGCATTGGTTGGTAGACACATAAAGTGGTGCAGCCCTTATAGAAAACAGTCTGGCAGTGTCTCAAAATTAAAGATAGAATTACCATTTAACCCAGCAATTCCATTTCTGAGTATATAGCCCCAAGGAATTGAAAGCAGGGTCTCTAAGAGATTATTTGTACATCTGTGCTCATGGTGATAGTATTTACAATATTTAAAAGGTGGAAGCCACCCAAGAGTTTATCAACAGATCAATGGATAAGCAAAATGTGGCCTATGATGCGATGGGATATTATTCAATCTTGAAAAGGAAGGAAGTTCTGACATATGCTACCATATGGATGAACCTTAACATTATGAAATAAGTCTGTCACAAAACAACAAATACCAAAACAGCAACAAATACTGCATAATTCCACTTATATGAGGTACCCAGAAAAGTCAATCCATACAGGCAGAAAGTAAAATGTGTTTGCCATGGTCTGGGTAGATGGGCAACAGGGACTTATCTTTGAATGGGGGTCTGGAGTTCCAATTTCTCTAGATATAAAGGGATCTGGATAAGTGAGTGAATCTTAATTGCTCTCTTTTTGCTCTCTTTAGATGTGGCTCAAGCGGTAGCACGCTCGCCTGGCATGCGTGCAGCCCGGGTTTGATCCTCAGCACCACATACCAACAAAGATGTTGTGTCCACCGAGAACTAAAAAATAAATATTAAAAAAAAAATTCTCTCTCTCTCTGGTACCTTTTTACTATGGTGTATCCCATGACACATTTTTTTTTTTAAGAGAGAGAGAGAGAGAGAGAGAGAGAGAGAGAGGGAGAGAGAGATAAATTTTTTTTAATATTTATTTTCTAGTTTTCGGTGGACACAACATCTTTATTTTATTTTTATGTGGTGCTGAGGATTGAACCCAGCGCCCGGCGCATGCCAGGCGAGAGCACTACCACTTGAGCCACATCCCCAGCCCACATTGTATTTTTTAAATCTACACAATAAAATTTGCTCTTTTAAAGAGGAATCTAGAGATTGGTTGACCATCAATGTGAATATGTTGGTGACACTTCTGAGCAGTACACTTATAGGTGGTTAAGATGATACATTTTATGTTAAATATGCTTTATTAAAATAGAGAATACAAAGGCAATCATAAACTGAGTTGTGATGGTGCTTGCACCACTGTATAAACTG